AGAAATCACTCTCCCTCATTAAAAAAATCCTGAAATTTTCATTTCACAACTCACCACACAGTCTGTTCACCATGTTGATCACCCACAGCAATTGCACAAAGACAAAATCACCACTAACCAGGAAAAAATATTTTCCCCAAGGTCTTGCACCACACCTCTGAGAGCAATGCACTTATAGGGTGTGTGTTGCAATCCAGAGAAAAAATGGAGATAAATCCGCCTCTTTTTTCCTGTCTCTACAAAATGCTTATTCAAAGCACACAAAGAAGGGAGTTCTTCACTTGACCATGGAGTTTCAATGCTGGATACACTATGGCCATCTGAAACCAGATATACACATTCTCAGTATTTTTTTTTTCGAAAATGCTCACTCATTTTGAATAAAAGGAAAACAAAATGCAGCAGAGAAACATGGACTTATGCAAATTCCTATCAAATACACTTATTCAAATAGCACACAAAAGATGTATTGGCCATGGAGTTTCAATGCAGAGGATCAATAGCCTGAACACAATCTCAGCATTGGTTCAGAAACATTTCATTGTGAATAAAAGAAAACATTTCCTTTTGACCTCAGAACAAAACTCAGCAGAGAAACAGGGAATTATTCAAATACTCATTTTAAATATTCAAAGCAAACACAAAAATGGAGTTATTCACTATTGCTCATAGCATGGAGTTTCACTGCAGGATACACTCTATGCTGGCCATGATCTGCAACCAGATACACAAATTATTCTCAGTATTGTTTCAGTAACACTCACTTTGAATAATTATGGAGGACATATTTATATTTGAGCTCAGAACAGAATCCAGCACTGCAGAGAAACAGGGACTTGGTGATGGTGCTGCTGCTCCACTTATTTCTAAACTGGATCAGTGCAACAGCCCTTGGCTGCTCTGGTCCACTTCCTTGGCTTCATACATATGAAACAACGGGTACCTTGAGCTTTATATTAACAATAAAATGCCCCCAAGATAAGAATAGTGTGCCACACACACACTCATTCCACAGCAAAAAAGTAACACTATATCGTATTTCACCAATTATAAACACTCAAAAATAAAATAAAGCATGGGGTTTTCTGTATATATGAAGAATACACTGTAATGTAAAATATAAATAATATGAGGGGAGTGCCCAATATATATAGAACCCTGATCTGCTGCCCTTTTCCTTATGGAACATTCGAGACCCCAACTGCATGAACACTACTGATCAACTGAAAGTCAGTCAAACCGTTGTGGCTGTCCTGATGGGCTGCTGCTGATGATGACCATTCCCCGCACTAGTACAAAGCATGCTTGTCCACAGGGACACGTTTCCCTTCACTCTCATGCCATATGAGGGAGGCAAAGATCTCAACCACGATTTGTACACACACACACACACAGACAGCTCTGAGATGCCAACAGCAGCAGGTGGTGGGAGGGAGGGAGGGAGGGAGGGAGAGAAAGTTGCCCACCTTTTTCTCTCTTTCTCTCCCTCCCCTCTCAGAGTTATGTGCTGTGCTGGGTACCCTAAAAAACGTGATTTTACCCACCCAGCAGCAAGCAGAGCCTCCTTTCATACAGAAACCGGTATTATTATTATAAAACAAGGGGTGCTTCAAAAGTTGAGCTACTGTATATGCTGGAGCTCAACTAAAAATGACCATCTCCACAAAGATCATGTCTATACAACGATTTTCTTTGTATAAAGAATTTTGGTTTGGCCCCAGCATAGGTGTCTTCTCCCCATGTTATAGGGGTTCTCTATAAAAAAAATTCTCTCTAGAATAAACATTTTTCTGTTCCCTTGAATACTGCTGCAGAAAAAGTCCAGCTGTCTACATACATATGGTGCATAAACAAAAATAGAGGTGGTCTCTCTCTCTCTCTCTCTCTCTCTCTCTCTCTCTCTCAACAACAATCTTGTTTATATACAGTACAACAATTTTCTATGTACTGTACTGGTAGTACCTTGTAATTTGATATCCCACAATTTGACAATCCCTCAATTCAATGGTCAAATTTGCTGAGATGTTGACTTGCAAAATTTGACTTCTTGCCATGGAATTCCACCTGCAGAGAGACTCAAAATGTCAAATTTTATGTAGAAATCATTGAATTTGAGATTGTCTTGTAATTTGACCACTTTGCAATTCAAGCCTTATACCTGGCAGCAGATTATAGGGTCAAATTGTGGGCAACCACCTTTTCTTAATAATATTCTTGGACCCATACAGTGTCTCTCTCAATTTTATAGAGGTTCTCTATACAAGAAAATCCCCCCTACAACAAAATTTTTCAATCTTTCAGAATCCAATGTGGGGAGAGATACAGTAAATATGATTGAAGAATCTGGGTCCCCTGCATATATCAACACAAGTTAATGTACTCCAGGATCAGGCTTCTGGTAAATGCAACAGTTATGTTATGAAACAATATTTTCTTTGACGAGTTTTGAATGAAAAAAAAAGTATTGTTCCAACAGATACTTACCTTAAGTATTGAACACATAATGTAGAAACCCATGTTTTTCAGCAAGAAAGGAATGGCATGAAATTGAAGCAATCAAGCAAAGGAGGATAGGGTAAAAACCTTTTAATAATGTATCTTCTCTTCATTTTCAACTGGATGATCAAAATTTGGGCAAGCAATTATATTGAGAAATAATGTAAGTCCATGTCAAGCCCTGTTCATCTCCAATCCAACAGGACTCCGGAGTGACAAATTGCTAAACAATATGACAGAACTTTTGAAACAACCCTCATACTATATGAAAGAAAAAAATATTCTGTACCCAGTGATTTAAATGCCCTCCAGTTACAAAATGCTCTATGACCCACAAAAGAACTGAATTCTGATGGCCTAGGTTCTTTCCAGTTCAATAGTTTGCTGCTTTCTGGAATGTCAGGCAGATGTCGCCTATATAAACAACTTAAAAGAATATAAGAATTGAACCACATTTAATGTATATGCTGCACTCTTGAATGCTCATAGAAAGCATAACAAATCCATCCAGTAAATTCTATTGTAAATCAAAGAAAATTATTAAATTATGCTACCTTTTTACAGAACCTCACAGCTCACATTGAGGAATCATAAAATTTTGCAGAAAAGTGCCTGTTTTCAACCAAATAAAAATCACGTTTGTGTGATTTGTGTATTCAGTTATTTTTATTTCTATCCTAGTTGTGGTTTCTACTTCTTCATACGTTTTAATGTTTACAGTCTGAAATGACGTAACTTCACTTTTGTTTGTTCAAAATAAAGAATAAACAGTCTCAATCACAATACATGGACTCAATATATTTGGCATATTTGGTCTCAATAAATGCTCTCTTCAACTTGAGGACATTGTTCAGCTCTCCCCCCACAAGAGAGAATTCTGTGGGAATGATCCTCCACTTTTTTATGGACTCTACATTGCTGGCTGCAAATTTTGAGTTATACTCATCAATGGCTTCCTGGATTGATTTGAAAACCTGCTGGTATGATGAAAAGACTGAAGAGAATCATGAAGAAATAATGAATAATCATTGATAATTACTGCTGGATCTTCAGTAGCAATCACTTGAGAGACAGTTTTGCAGGGGGATCCAATCACTTCCAGCCACTGCAAGGCTTCAGGGGACAGTTCATCAGTTGGCAAATTTGTATTAGGATCCACCAGTGCCTGTAAAATAATTACCCAGGAAATATTAAGTACATATAAGCTGCAAAGATGTCAAATTGTGTATTAAAAATGGCCTAATTATACCTTGAGGCCAAACAGAGCAGAAATGAACTTTCTGGACTCCCCAACAACAATGACACTAGTGATGGCAGGGTTCAATAGTCTCTTCAACTTCTGTTCAATTGGGCTACAAACACACTAAACACATAAGTCAATAAAAATAAAGATAGGATCAACACCAAAGATGAAGAAGTATGCAAAATTACAAATGTCAGACTTTACTGCATTGAAGTGAAAACAAACAAGTTTTATTTCTTCAAACAGTCTCAATCACAATACATGGACTCAATATATTTGGCATATTTGGTCTCAATAAATGCTCTCTTCAACTTGAGAACATTGTTCAGCTCTCCCCCCACAAGAGAGAATTCTGTGGGAATGATCCTCCACTTTTTTATGGACTCAACATTGCTGGCTGCAAATTTTGAGTTATACTCATCAATGGCTTCCTGGATTGATTTGAAAACCTGGTATGATGAAAAGACTGAAAAGAATCATGAACAAATAATGAATATTCATTGATAATTACTGCTGGATCTTCAGTAGCAATCACTTGAGAGACAGTTTTGCAGGGTGATCCAATCACTTCCAGCCACTGCAAGGCTTCAGGGGACAGTTCATCAGTTGGCAAATTTGTATTAGGATCCACCAGTGCCTGTAAAAATAATTACCCAACAAATATTTATTACATAAGCTGCAAAGATGTCAAACTGTGCTAATTTTTACCGGATTAATATGGAACTCCGGTTTGTCTCGTCTTTACTTGAAAGACCTGAGGGGTTGTTGTTACTGTGATCACTACCGTCCCAAGTTATCAGAGAAGTTGAAGACAAGTTAACCCGATGGAGAAATCTTTTTGCCCCCACAAGTGACAATCAAGTCCTGCATGTGAAGAAGGAAAAATAAAAGAATGGCCTGAAGAATAAAAATGCAAAAATATACAAATGGAATTAGGAGGGTCACTAGGTTTCGGAAGGGACTCCCAGTTTCTTGGGGTTCAGAGGTGAAAATTAAGAAGGGTTCAGTAGTTAGTAGAGTCTCCAAGAGAGACCCAGAAACCGTATTCCCATGAATCTGATTCTTCCATCAAACATCACCTGAACATACAATAAAACATGAAAGCTAATTTATATTTTTTCTAATTGCACTGCCTTTGAACCTTGGGCAACAGAAGAATACTGTATTGTTCATTTCCATCATTTTTGGGTTGGCCCAATGCCACTGAAAACTCACTCTGAGGTGAGAGGCCTACTTCAAGGAATATTTGAAAAATCATTGGATGCTATAGTTTTCAAATGATGATTCTCTTGTACATTTTATTTGATTGATAAGCAAATGTCAGGTTGAAGATGAATATTTTCAGCTGAACACTTTTTGATTGTAGAAAAATAGCCTCAAATTCACTGGTGATTAGCACAAATTCTTCAATGAGCAAAATTTCTCTGCACATTTTAAAAATCTGTGTTTTTTGTAGAATATCAATCAGAAAAAATAAAAATTCACCTCTCCTTCAGTTCCACCATCACCACAAGGTTCCACAACAACATTGAATCCTTTCACAACTCCTCCACAACTTCCAATTCCAAAGAGAGTTGGAGTCTCTATGTTTGTTGGTCCACACTCTGTCATCCCATACTCCTAAAAATATTATGATCATTTTTTTAATGTATCCTCAATTAGTGCAAGTGATTGATTTTATACCTGAAACAGTTGAATGTCAAAGCTGAGAAAGTACTCCACAAGAGCTGCACTCACAGGAGCTGCTCCAACTGCAAAGTACCTCATCCTGTCCAAGCCCATTCTTTTCTTGATTGAGTTGAAATGCAAAAGTTTCGCCTTTTTAAAATTGGCCTCCTGAGATATTGTCCTTTACAAACAAGGGTAGAACACAATTTAGGTCATATAATGTACATGAGACACAAAGATGCCTTATTTTGAAAACTTGAATAGCTTTGAGGTAATTTTGACAATTTGGTACATTATTTGAATAACAATGTTTAACCCTTTCATGAATTTTGAATTGGTATGTGTGCATATAGTACATATTCATGCTGCTTGCTTTTTGGGATTCAGTCTGTATCATGAGTAATGACTCTATAAATATTTTAACTATAATTGTTTCATAAGGTTGTCCATTATGTAATTGTAATGTTGAGGCATAATTGTCAGAGTGCAGACGCACACAGGTCCATGTTGCTTGGCCAGGTAATATTCCAGGGCAGCATTGCTGGCCCAAGTTAGGCCAGGACCCATCAACTCAGTTTCCAAGACCTTGAGCTTCTCAGCAAGTTTCTCCACTTGTCTAGGAACTGTGAAAATCTGNGAATTGGTATGTGTGCATATAGTACATATTCATGCTGCTTGCTTTTTGGGATTCAGTCTGTATCATGAGTAATGACTCTATAAATATTTTAACTATAATTGTTTCATAAGGTTGTCCATTATGTAATTGTAATGTTGAGGCATAATTGTCAGAGTGCAGACGCACACAGGTCCATGTTGCTTGGCCAGGTAATATTCCAGGGCAGCATTCCTGGCCCAAGTTAGGCCAGGACCCATCAACTCAGTTTCCAAGACCTTGAGCTTCTCAGCAAGTTTCTCCACTTGTCTAGGAACTGTGAAAATCTGAGTGGGTCTCACTTCCTTCAAGGGCTCCAAAAGGTTGCCCTGCAAAAACAAAATTGAATTTTTTTAAAGAACACATGCCAATGAAATTTAGACAGCTCACCCTTAATGCTTCAGGTTTAAAGTTCAAAGTGCCAGCACAAGCAATGTGACATAGAAACTCAAAAATAAATCCACTGGCATGATTGAATGGCATGAAACTCATCATGATCTCTTGACCCATCCTGGAGGAACTGTGCTTTGAAAAGCTTTTTGCATTCAGAACACAGTAGTCATGTGTCATCATGGCCAACTTTGGGTTCCCAATGGTCCCTGACTGAAGGCAGAAAAAGCAGGAATTTTAATAAAAATGCTTTGGCAGTCTTAAAAAAAATTAAAGACAAATTTCTCCTACAGTGCAAACAGCCACACAGCATTGGTTGATGGCTATTGACTCCAGTCGACTTTCCAGTTCATTCCTCAAATGATTCCCTTGGGTCATCATGGTGGACCACTGTGAAGAAATTATTTGTACACATGACATTCAAAATAAAGTTGCTGAAAGTTAGATATTTCTTAATCATCACATTATAATACAGTTTATTTATCAATAAGACATGGTATGATGTGTCTGATATGAGCAAACAGAAAGTTTCATCATATTCACAAAATGATATATGTTTGTGCATTTAAGTTAATTGGTTAAAGTCCTCCAATAAGTCTTAAAGAATTCATACAAAGTATTTTTCAATTGGAAAGAAAGTGTATCTCTATATACAATATATGCACCTTCAAAAATGAAAACACTACTCTGAAATAACTAATGTTCAAATTTTTAGACAATGCTTGAAGCAGTGAAATGCAAATGTTATTCTTATAATAATTGACTTAAAAAAAACCAGCACAAAGCCAAAATTTGATTTATCATTTAAAATATCATTTTCTAACATGTCAGGTGTTTCCAATCACCTTCATGACACCAGGGATAAGCGGTTCTCCATTCCATTGGATGACAGCTCTCAGTGCTGGCAACTGAGACTTCACAGTTTGGATCTTGATGGCCTGTTCATCATTCTCCACCACCACAATTGTTGCTTCCATGGTAGCAGCAATGTACTTGCATTGCTCAGGACTGTCTGTCTCATAAATGCCAGCAAACACTCCTCTGAGTCAAGATAAATATGACATGTTGAAAACAGTTTTGCTTGACTTACATCACTTATCTCAATCTTACCCAGCATGGATGGTTGCCAGAGCAGCAATGATCCATTCAGGTCTCAAGAAGGGATCCTACGTTTGACACGGTTCAGAACCATCGGGTTCTCTTTACTTCCGAAACCGTGTTCAGTACTGTAGGAGACTCATAACGAACTTACAGGTGAGAGATATGTCTTTTGTTAATGATATTACTAGGTCTGCAAGGTGTCATCTTTTATTTTGTGTCCCGTAGTATACATTAAAATACCTTTCCGTTTTGACAAATTGTGGACCAATTTTGTAAGTAGTGTGTTCTGTGATATCGCAATTTTTTGGGGGCATCAAACATACATACCCAGTCTGCAAGAAAGATCCATGCTGTTGTTTGGACAGAGTCATCTCATTTTGGAACGAAAACTATCCATCAAGACAGATGATCTTGCATGACTAACAGTCTAACACATACCTGGTCCCATGCTGACTATTAGGAGCAGGCCCTACCACATCTATACTTACATCTTCAAAGAGTGTATCATAAAAGAGCTGAATTTTGAACATTTTCCCTCTTGACATGAGTTTTTGTTGTGTAATTCAACAGTTGTATTGCCAGAAGATACCATGTTATGCATTAATGCATTTTTATCATTACAGGTGATATGTAACTGTGCAATTTGACCTCCAGCAATTCAACTATCCCACATTTCAACAATTGAATTTATTGGGAGGTCAAATTGCAATTTTACCTAGGCCCTGCAATTTGACCCACAGATATGAGCAAAAATGTCAAATCCAATTTAGAGAACAACCCATTTGATGTTGCTTCACAATTTGAACCCAGTCCAGCAACAGATTAGGGCCAAATGGCAGGACGTTCACTACCTGTGATATGTCAACTGACCCACCAACCTTGCCTCTACTCCGGGGGTGACAGTCTCTCTGAGCGCCACCTGGTGTCCAAATGTGTCCACAGTCCTCTTGAACAAAGTGGGCATAGACTCAGGCTCCGAATCACATTCAGGTCCCAGTCGGATCCTCACTGCTTGCTTCCAGTCAGTCACAAAGTCCGCTTTTGTTGGCAACACTTGATCCGGTCCTCGGTTCCGGAATCCAAGTTCCGGCTCTACTGCTNAGAGTTCTTCCCTAGGATGCAAACTGTGCCAAGTCTTGGTAGCCCAAGAGAAATGAAGGCTTTGGCACAAGTCATGACATCCTCTGAGTATTGCTTGAATGTCCACTCTCTATACAGAAAACAATTAAATATTATTAGGTCTGCAAGGTGTCATCTTTTATTTTGTGTCCCGTAGTATACATTAAAATATCTTTATGTTTTGACAAATCGTGGACCAACTTTGTAAGTAGTGTGTTCTGTGATATGGCAATTTCTTTGGGGCATCAAACATACATACCCAGTCTGCAAGAAAGATCCATGCTGTTGTTTGGACAGAGTCATCTCATTTTGGAAAGAAAACTATCCATCAAGACAGATGATCTTGCGTGACTAACAGTCTAACACATACATGGTCCCATGCAGACTATATTAGGAGAAGGCCCTACCACATGTATGCTTACATCTTCAAAGCAATCTTATGAAATATCAGTACTGAGTTGGGCAGTGGTCTATGCTTTGGCCTTTTGACATTTGATCATCTGTGCAGGGTTTGACATGAAAGGTGAAAAATTTTTCCAGATTTGGCTACGTAAATGGACCAATGAAGACTCAAGAAAAGAATCAGTGGAAATAAATTTATTTTTCATACATGAAATCTTAAAAAATGATCTGAGCAAATTTTTACAATTGAGCCAGAATAACTTGAACCTCTCTTGAAGTCAAATATCTCTGCATCTTAAATTTTTTGAAGTGTCTGGCTGATTTGGGTAACAAAATAATGCATTAAATGGCTCCCAAATTCCAATACTTTTCTCTTCAAACCTCCATTTTCTGGCCACTTGAAATTTGACTTGAATAGGTTCAACTGTAGAGTATATCATAAAAGAGCTGAATTTTGAACATTTTCCCCTCTGACATGAGTTTTTGTTGTGTAATCCAACAGCTGTATTGCCAAAAGATACTATGTTATGCATACATGCATTTTTTATCATTACAGGTGGTGTGTAACCTTGCAATTTGACCTCCAGCAATTCAACCATCCCAAAATTCAACAATTGAATTTATTGGGAGGTCAAATTGCAATTTGACCTTGGCCCTGCAATTTGACCCCCATATATGAGCAAAAAGGTCAAATCCAATTTAGAAAACATCCCATTTGATGTTGCTTCAAAATTTGAACCCAGTCCAGCAACAGATTAGGGCCAAATGGCAGGACGTTCACTACCTGTGATATGTCAACTGACCCACCAACCTTGCCTCTACTCCAGGGGTGACAGTCTCTCTGAGCGCCACCTGGTGTCCAAATGTGTCCACAGTCCTCTTGAACAAAGTGGGCATAGACTCAGGCTCCGAATCACATTCAGGTCCCAGTCGGATCCTCACTGCTTGCTTCCAGGGGTGACAGTCTCTCTGAGCGCCACCTGGTGTCCAAATGTGTCCACAGTCCTCTTGAACAAAGTGGGCATAGACTCAGGCTCCGAATCACATTCAGGTCCCAGTCGGATCCTCACTGCTTGCTTCCAGTCAGTCACAAAGTCCGCTTTTGTTGGCAACACTTGATCCGGTCCTCGGTTCCGGAATCCAAGTTCCGGCTCTACTGCTTGCAAAGCAGACCGGAACTCTTGTATCTTCACAACCAGGGCCATGATTTTACTAGAAACAAATTTCTAGATGTTTTTCTTTATCTGGTGAGGAAGAAAACATAATATAATTTTTGGAATAGAGTTACCAACCATGAACGCATTACCCATAATATATGGCTTTATCCATAATTTGTTCGTACCTTTCCCGTGTTCATAAAAAGGGGAATGATAAGCAAGAAAATAAGCATGAATCCCCGCTGAGCAAAACAACCATAAAATATAAATATATTTTGCATAATTTAATTTCTTGGTGGGGAGACAATGACTTGCAAAACAACACTTTCAAGGTAAATGTCTCCATTGTGTCCTTTTCTAACCACAAACATTTTAGACTTCCTGAAGGTTGAGAGCTTCAAGTTTCCAAAATGTCTTAAATTTCATACTATTGGGTATAAAATTTTCGAATTAAAATTTTACTGCATATATTGAAAAGTGAAAACATTTATACTCAGCCCAGGTTTTCACAGACATTCAAATCTTTGGTGTCAGGAATTTTTGAAATGTTTTTCATTATTTATAAAAGTGCTTTTAATTATTATTAAAAATATGATTGTGACGGAAATCACTCCTTGAATGACAATATAAATTGCTGTAATTCTTCAATATTGCAAAATGAACACTAGTAAAACACAGAAACGAAACCAGGAGAACATGTCATAACTCAAATAAAAACTAAAAAAGATATACCGTAAAACACGGTTTCATGCACGCAAAAAATCACGAAGCTCATGAAAAAATATTTCAACTGCGACACTTCCAAATGATGATCACTTTTGATCAATTTCATCACGGCTAAAAATCTCCGAGTCAATTTCATGTGTGACACCGTCATTATTTTCCTTGGAACGTAGAAAATGTTTCATTTTCTGAGTAATTTCGAAAATTTCGGGAATTGAAAGTGAAGAAAAACGAAAATTCGAGTCCTACTCAAAATCCAAGAAATAAATAGAATAAAAAAAATCACTATTAAAAAAGCACGGTCATCAGGTAACGGATATCAGCTGAATCCAGTCTCTTCATATATTCACTCACTCAAACAGTAAAAATGGGAGAATTGAATAAAATGAAATAAAATAGAACAGTAATCGCCTCGCAATTACCAACACGGAATCACGAATCCCAAGATGAATAAAAATCCAAAGCTCATCCTCATCATGATGAGCGACAAAAAAATGGTGTCCGAAATTTCCAGGCCCGGGTATTTATACATAATTTAGCCGAGCAAAGTCCACTTGATTATGGATCCGGACAAAAGCAAATTCGCCGACTCATCTTCATCCTCGTCCTTTTTCCAGCAGGAGATGTTACAATAATTCAAACCCGAAAGTCAGGGTCACTTCCCCAAAGTTTCCCACTATATTTTTCACCCGGACTTTTCGATTAAAACTCTGGTATAAACTAAGAAAATATACGAGGGTCGTCCCAGTTCCACGCGACCTATGCTATTTTTTCATGGCCTAGCTCATGATGATGCAAGTCTCTGGNCAATTGAGCCAGAATAACTTGAACCTCTCTTGAAGTCAAATATCTCTGCATCTTAAATTTTTTGAAGTGTCTGGCTGATTTGGGTAACAAAATAATGCATTAAATGGCTCCCAAATTCCAATACTTTTCTCTTCAAACCTCCATTTTCTGGCCACTTGAAATTTGACTTGAATAGGTTCAACTGTAGAGTATATCATAAAAGAGCTGAATTTTGAACATTTTCCCCTCTGACATGAGTTTTTGTTGTGTAATCCAACAGCTGTATTGCCAAAAGATACTATGTTATGCATACATGCATTTTTTATCATTACAGGTGGTGTGTAACCTTGCAATTTGACCTCCAGCAATTCAACCATCCCAAAATTCAACAATTGAATTTATTGGGAGGTCAAATTGCAATTTGACCTTGGCCCTGCAATTTGACCCCCATATATGAGCAAAAAGGTCAAATCCAATTTAGAAAACAACCCATTTGATGTTGCTTCAAAATTTGAACCCAGTCCAGCAACAGATTAGGGCCAAATGGCAGGACGTTCACTACCTGTGATATGTCAACTGACCCACCAACCTTGCCTCTACTCCGGGGGTGACAGTCTCTCTGAGCGCCACCTGGTGTCCAAATGTGTCCACAGTCCTCTTGAACAAAGTGGGCATAGACTCAGGCTCCGAATCACATTCAGGTCCCAGTCGGATCCTCACTGCTTGCTTCCAGTCAGTCACAAAGTCCGCTTTTGTTGGCAACACTTGATCCGGTCCTCGGTTCCGGAATCCAAGTTCCGGCTCTACTGCTTGCAAAGCAGACCGGAACTCTTGTATCTTCACAACCAGGGCCATGATTTTACTAGAAACAAATTTCTAGATGTTTTTCTTTATCTGGTGAGGAAAAAAACATAATATAATTTTTGGAATAGAGTTACCAACCATGAACGCATTACCCATAATATATGATTTTATCCATAATTTGTTTGTACCTTTTCTGTGTTCATAAAAAGGGGAATGATAAGCAAGAAAGTAAGCATGAATTCTCACTGAGCAAAACACCCATAAAATATGAATATATTTTGCATAATTTAATTTCTTGGTGGGGAGACAATGACTTGCAAAACAACACTTTCAAGGTAAATGTCTCCATTGTGTCCTTTTCTAACCACAAACATTTTAGACTTCCTGAAGGTTGAGAGCTTCAAGTTTCCAAAATGTCTTATATTTCATTCTTTTGGGTATAACATTTTCGAATTAAAATTTTACTGCATACAGTATATTGAAAAGTTAAAACATTTATACTCAACACAGGTTTTCACAGGCATTCAAATCTTTGGTGTCAGGAGTGATTAAAATCTTTTTCATTATAAATAATAGTGCTTTTAATTATTATTATCAATATTATTATGACGGAAATCACGCCTTGAATGACAATATGAATTGCAAAAAGAAAACTTCCAACTAAAATTAATTTTTCAATATCACAAAATGAACACTAGTAAAACACAGAAACGAAACCAGGAAAACATGTCATAACTCAAAAAACTAAAAAAGATATAAAACACGGTTTTATGCTTGCAAAAAATCACGAAGCTCATGAAAAACGAGTTTCAACTGCAACACTTCCGAATGATGATCACTTTTGATCAATTTCATCACGGCTAAAAATCCCCGAGTCAATTTCTTGTGCGAAAAACCGTCATTATTATCCTTTCAACGCAAAATAACTGTTATTTTACGAATAATTTTGAAAATTTCGGGAATTGAAAGTGAAGAAAAACGAAAATTCGAGTCCGACTCAAAATCCTAGAAATAAATAGATTTAAAAAACCACTATAAAAAAGCACGGTCATCAGGTAACGGATATCAGCTGAATCCAGTCTTTTCATATATTCACTCACTCAAACAGTAAAAATGGGAGAATTGAATAAAATGAAATAAAATAGAACAGTAATCGCCTCGCAATTACCAACACGGAATCACGAATCCCAAGATGAATAAAAATCCAAAGCTCATCCTCATCGTGATGAGCGACAAAAAAATGGTGTCCGAAATTTCCAGGCCCGGGTATTTATACATAATTTAGCCGAGCAAAGTCCACTTGATTATGGATCCGGACAAAAGCAAATTCGCCGACTCATCTTCCTCCTCGTCCTTTTTCCAGCAGGAGATGTTACAATAATTCAAACCCGAAAGTCAGGGTCACTTCCCCAAAGTTTCCCACTATATTTTTCACCCGGACTTTTCGATTAAAACTCTGGTATAAACTAAGAAAATATACGAGGGTCGTCCCAGTTCCACGCGACCTATGCTATTTTTTCATGGCCTAGCTCATGATGATGCAAGTCTCTGGAATTTTTTTTTACGGAATTTTAAAGGAGATTTTCAATTTATTGCGTGATGATAGCTGAAAACTTTCCAGTTACAGCCAGAGTTCTGCACCCATGTCACAGAGAGTGCTAAAATTAAGTCAGGCTAAATAAAAATTGAATATTTGTTAATTCACCAATTATTCAAAATTGAGAAAAAAAATGACGAGTTGAGCAATAACATTTTTTTATATCTGTCCTGACAAAACTTTTATAGCACCCTGTGTGACATGGGTTTTCATTCATCATCAATCCAAAAAATTAAAAAAAAAGTTTTCAAAAAAATGAAAAAAATCCTAGAACCTCAGAAAATTATGAACTATGTAATGATTGTATTACTTTTTACAATAACACCAACCTGAAAAACACACGGGGTCTAAAATTTTCCCTCACAAACCAGAACTCTGGCTGTAACTGAAAAATTTTCA